GTTCCCCAGTGACAGTTTAATAGTGATGGAAGTGCAGTGAGAGGGAGTTTTCGTGGTTTTTAAAGTGAGGTTTTGACCGAAACTAATGACCATAATATCGGTAATAGTGAAGAAAACCCAGACAACCCTCAGCCTTCCACCTCTGGTGCTGGGCCCTCGTGTTCACGTTCAGTTGTTCCAGAACCCAAGAGGAAACTTCTATTTTCCCAAATCCCAGACTCAGATGAGAGCATAGGTGATGATAGTGATAGTGAATATGAACTACAAGCTCTTCAAACTAGTTCCAGTAGTGATAGTGAAGTGCAATATTCCCCAGTGAAGCGTCAGTATATACGACGATACACAAATAACCCGCACATAAAAGAGAGAAGCTTACGACGACGTTTCGGTCCGACTTGGACCATTGACAAAGTCACACAGTGTGACTTTGTCAATGGTCCAAGTCGGACAGAAACGTCGTCGTAAGCTTCTCTCTTTTATGTGCGGGTTATTTGTGTATCGTTCCAGTCACGGTATTGTGCCTTTTTGTTATTTATATACAACGATATATGTGCTCTGGTAGTGTGCCATATGTTATACCAAGGGGAAGGAGTGTATCTCGGAGTACATCCCATGGCTGTACAACAGGAACAGACAGTGAAAATGACGAAGATACTGTTGCAATTGGGATGGAAAATGTGCGTGGTGGTAGTGGTGCCGGCGGTGAGGCACCAGCAGTGGGCCATGCTGCCACCCACGCTGCCACCCACGCCGCTGCCTCAGCTGATCTAGAACAAAGGCCCCCATCCCCCATCACCCACACACCAGCTCCACAACCACAACCTCCACAACCACAACCACCTGTCATTGTCCCGTACCCCCCAGCAGACCGCACCCGGGATTGGCAGGAAGCTGTCAATTTTTTTCCAAAACCCCCCCAGTTTGAAAGACAGCCAAAGTGGAATACGGCCCTCTTGTGCACTTGGGAACAATGCCACTGAACTGGAATGTTTCTAGTTATTCTTTGACGAACCACTGATGAAAAGTATTGTCATGGAAAGCAACACATACTACAAATACACCATGGCAAACACATTACTTTCACCAAAATCCGTCTACACCAGTGGAAGGGGGGCAACTGTGGCTGAGATGTATCTTTTCTTTGCCACAATAATGCTTATGCAAAATGTGTATAAGCACAAGTGAAATCATAAATGGTCAACAGACCCCCTGATTTCAACACCAGGTTTCAGTGAAATAAAGCCATTGAACGATTTGTGCTAATGTTACGTATGCTGAAATTCTCAGAAAAAACCGGGCCTGACAGAACTGACAGGTTATAAAAGATTAAAATTTTTTTTTGTGAAAAAATCGAAACAAAAATTTCAGTCCCAATTTTTACCCCTTCCCGGAAGGGCTTAATTGGGTCTTTGATTCTGTTTCAAAGGAAGACTCTTTTCAACCCAAGTACAAAACCAAAGAAAGGGGAAAACCCGTTTGGTAAAAAAAGGTTTTTGGGTGTTTTGTGTTTGTTACGGGGTCTGGTTTTGGGATTTAAATTTTTGAAACACGGAAGTTATACTTTGCAAAATCCCGGGAAGTTTTTTGGGCACCCAAAAGGTGAGGGTGGTTCGAACAAGGGATAGAACCATCCCTTGGGTTTAAGGGGCATATATTATATACGAAAACCCTGGTACAAAAAGCCCCCACTCAGTGTTTTTTTGCGAGTAAAACATACAGATGTGTAAAAACAGGGGCGGCAAATCAAAAAACATTGCCCAGGTTTGACGCTGGCACTCGTAGAGGTGAGGGCGGGGTTTGCTGCCAATGACATCTGGGATTTCGGGGGCATGACAAACGAGATGTCACATGTTTTCATCAATTCACCCTAATGGGAAAAGGGCCAAAATGGCGGCCCCCCCTTAGAGGGAAATGAACCCCCTTCAAAAACCCGCAGCTGGGATTGATTTTCCCTTCAAATGCTTTCAGTGGCAAAAGGGGACATGCAGTTGGGTTTGCTGATTGTTTTTCGCAAGATTTTAAGTGGTTTCATCAAATTTTTTCCATCTTTGGACATTTCCTTTCCCCAATGCTTATAATATGTATAAGATGAGACCAGAAAAAAAACCACAGTTTCGGGGGAATTCTGTTTGCTGCCAACAGAAAATAGTAAATTCCCAAATACCAAGGAAAAAGCACCTGCCCAAATTTACCCCCCACCAAAATTTTCAACAACTACCTGGGCCCTCTGAAGCATGGTGATCACTTCCCGGTAAAACTTTCCCCTTTTGCTTTTAAGGAAAAAAGGGTCAGAAGAGGTGTTTCGTTTTGTGCACATACAAAAAAACGCACACAACAATGCAGAACACCGGGTTTTTTTGTGAGGAGTGCAAAAAATCCACTGTGCATACACCCTGGGTTTTAAAGATTAAAAGGCTGCAGAACTTCTGAAACCCTTCCCCGTGGGCTGTATATGTGTAAAAAAAATATAGAAAAATAGTAATTTAAAAAACATTTCTATCGTTTGTTTGTGTAAATAATTTTTTGTAAACAAAAAAATGACAACAGTGTTTACCCCCCTTATTTTTGTGTATTGAAAAAAAAAAAAAACTTACAAAAAAACTGATCATGTTTGGCCCAGAGGGCCCTAAAAGTTTTTCGGAAAAAAAAAAAAATTTAAAAAAAATTGAAAAAGTACCTAAAAAAGTAAATAGAAAAAATACCCGGGGGACCCGGCCCCGTCGGCCCATGGGTTTCAATATGTTTTTTTCAATTTTGGCAAATTTTACGCCTCCATATCTCCCCTGGGAATTGCCGTTAAAATTTTTTTTTTTACCTATAAAAATTTTGAAAAAAAAAAAAAAATATTTTTTTTATAAGAAATTTTTTTTTTTTTTTTTTTTTTTGGGAAAAAATTTGGCCCACCCCGGGAACGAGTTACGGAGAGGGCCTGTCGACCCTCAGCGGGTTAATGAACAGAGGAAATGTTATGTTAGTGCCTGAAATGTCTACAGTGTTTATTTTGGATTCTGTAAATTGGACTTTTTTATTTTTCAGTAAACCTGGCCAAATTACTGACTTCTGCATACTTAACCCTTTCAGGGTCCACAGGCTCTCTGAGATTTGTTCTCAGGGTCCCCCAAATTTAAAAAAAAAAAAAAAATTTCTTATGAAAAGATAGAGAATCTTTTCCCGATCATAATGACACCAAAAGTATGAAATTTGATCGAAAACTTATGGAATTATGCTCTTGCGAAGTTAGCGGTCTCAACGATGTTTACGCATTGACGATTTTGCCCACTTTGAGCCCTATTTTCAGCCAATTCCAGTGTACTAGTCAACAAAAATCATACCTATTTTGCTAGAACTCCATTTTTTTCTATGGAATGAGTACAAGAAACCACCCATTTACCGACTTCAACTATCCAATACAGTCGTCAGAATTTAGCAATTTTGCCAATTTCACACAAATTTCAAAAGATGCCAATTTCCAAATAGGGTCTAGAATAAACAAGAAAGACATTCCTGGCACTAAAATAACATTTCCTCTGTTCATTAATCACATCCCCAGGCCCCTCTTACATTCTTTTGCTTTCCATTTTGAATTTTCATTCTCACAAAAAATAGAAGATTTACTGTTATGCAGACTACTGCATTAGTGTAGAAATGGTATAAATAATATCGGTGCACTTGTGAAAGAATATTAGACTTACCAGTTGACGTGTACTGGACACTCAGCGTGATTTGTTTACTTTCGAACTTTGGTAAAAATCAAACATTTCTGCTACTTTGAGCTCAATTTCAAGGTACTTTTCATTGTAAAACCAGTCAAAATCATCTAAATTTCTGTAATATGTCTTCCATTCTATCAAATGAGACCAGAAAAACTAGAATACAACAATAAACACCATACAAAAGTACAGTGCAAAGTCACTGTTTTAATCCAAAAACACCGTCAAAGTTTTTTTTTCTCGTTACGTACTGTGTGCTGCAGAATTTTTTTTATACTGTGCACACTGACCACATAGACCCATTCTTTCATATGCAGGCCTACCAGCTTTCTCTCACTAGATTTGAAGGTGCTAGAATTTATGAGTACTAGTACGTCAAGGACCCCGGCACGTAAACAGTACTAGTACGGCCGAAACCCTGAAAGGGTTAATAGGGTAGTTCTCATAGTTGAATAGGCAGTTTCTTGTGCTCATTCAATAGAAGGGAAGGCACACTAGCAAAAGAGCACCATCATTTAATTAAAAGGAGGCCTCACTGCCAGCAAGGATAATACTGACACTATCTATGGCTAATATACATGTACTGAGAGTTCATAATTACTTTCCAAAAGAAACCCATGCTATAACTGGAGATGCATTCCTTTCTATGGAAGTAATAATCTATATCAAAATTATATGAACTTTTAACAATGAAATTAAAATTAACATATTCCCTGAAGGATGAAACCTCTATTACCTTTCCGCTTTTCATTGTATCTGACACAACAAACTTTACCTATTATCTTAAACTTGCTGTTGCAGGGAAGGTGGAAGTGTCTGGGTGTGGAAGAAAGGGTATGAGGGCTGCAAATGCCTAGTCATATGGCATGGGAGGGATGCGATGGTAAGCATCAACCCGTGGTGTAGAATGGAGACATGTGAGGGTAGCAGGTTTCCAACAAGCATGTGGCAGTCAGGGTTGTGTTTAGTGTAGCATAGCAGGTTTCTGAGTATATGGCAGGGAAAGTTGTGATGAAAATATGCTTGTGCCTAAGTGGTAGCAGCATCAACCCTCATCACATACAGGACAACACTGTCTCTGGTCTTCTGCTTACCCACACTGTCCAACAACTACATATACTACAATTTTTGCCCAATCTCTATCAAACGAATACCATCTCACTACATGTGCATAAAATGAACACAAAATATCAATACACGTGATGAAAAAAACCAGGAGAAAATAGCAAACATTCCATATAAATTAATTTTCCTGAATAAACAGGTATGAAATAGCATACACGTACTTACCAAACAGATTATTAAGGTCATCAAAATATTGGCAAGTTTTTCGAGTGTTGTACAGATCATTGTGATTAATTGTATTGCGATATTTCTTGCACAGCTCTCGCCACCGCATGCGAATCTGATAGAGTATATACATATATATATAAATTATTACTTCAAATAAATTCTTTAAAATTCAAAATCATGCACACTTGAGCTTTCAAATCTAATGGACAACAACCAACTCAGCTTATAGAAAGCATATTTCAGACTGCTTATAGTGAAAAGTGTAAGGCAGAGTGGAGAAGGGATGTCCCAGAAAATGAAGAGGAAATATTACTATGGAAAATTATTGTGGTAAGGAAACCTCATATTTTGAGATAAAATAGTGGAAATCAACATCAGCTCATTGTTTACAATATGGTGAATTGCACCAGGTCTAATAATGGTTTTGCATGAAAAGAAAAGTGGAGGGATGGACAAAATTGGAACAAAATCAGTTGAGATAAAAAAGGCTGTTAGAAAAATCAAGTAATGAAAATATAACCCTGAACAGTGAAACAGAAGTAACAAAATGTTTACGAAAGGTGCAAACAAGATTAAAAGAGCGAGATGAAATTGCTTCAATGTTTTCTCTTAATGCTTTCCTTTTGTCTTGGTTTGGCTGTTAACTATTTGGTTTTCTTTATATACCATTGGACCAGAGGGTACAGCTACATCATTCTACAGGAAATAAGTCCCCTTTACATCACTTCTTTCATCAATCAGCCTTCTATAAGTTATAAATTTTTATCCTTTCTTTGGAGAGGTTTAGTCTAATTATTGTCACTGTAGTCTTGCAGTTTATGACCCCCTAACACTTTTCAGCATTTCTTTCTTTCATTTAACCTGAGTAAATGTTAGTCATAACAACCTTTCAATGCCTTTCACACATTTTCCAATCCGCTACAACCTATGCATATTTAAATGATAAAAGTTACTAAGTTTTATCATGTCATTAATTTAGTGTCACCTTTTCAATTATAATCTTGATAAATGTTTTTCAGTGTAGCTGACAACAATAACTCTTATCTGCCACTCTTGCCATTGGTAGCTTGATGCTGTTCGTAATTTTTATTAATTTTCTGATTTTTGATGGATTAGGTGGCCTTTCCATTAATTTATTAACCCTTTGACTGTTTCAGGCCCCTCTCTGAAACTGTCATTCTATGTCGCCAAATATTCAAAAAAAAAAAAAATTATTTTTTCTTATGAAAATGTTAAGATTATTTTTCTGAGTGTTTTAGTCCAAAAAAAAAATTTTGCCATTGGTACTTACCGAGATATAGAGCCGTGAAGTTTGCAGAAAATGAGCCGCGTATGGCAACAGCGGCGACTGCCGCTCACCCGGTAAACTTTAGTTTACTTGTATTTGAAGGTTTGTTGTTTTTTTCACTATTTTATTTTTTCACATAACTTATGTGGCCTATGAGACCAAAGTAAGGTGCAATGTATATATATATACACTCGTTGTATACAACACAATAAGCACACAAACATAATTATCAATATATTGTTTACAAAACTTGTTTACACAAACAAACAAACAAACAAACAAACAAACAATTCTTCTTCTTCTTCTTCTTCTTCTTCTCCTTCTTCTCCTTCTTCTCCTTCTTCTCCTTCTTCTTCTTCTCCTTCTTCTTCTTCTCCTTCTTCTTCTTCTTCTTCTTCTCCTTCTTCTTCTTCTTCTTCTTCTTCTCCTTCTCCTTCTCCTCCTCCTTCTCCTCCTCCTTTCTCCTCCTCCTTCTCCTCCTCCTTCTCCTCCTCCTTCTCCTCCTTCTTCTCCTCCTCCTTCTCCTCCTTCTTCTCCTCCTCCTTCTCCTCCTTCTCCTTCTTCTCCTCCTTCTTCTCCTCCTTCTTCTTCTCCTCCTCCTTCTCCTCCTTCTCCTCCTCCTCCTTCTCCTCCTTCTCCTCCTCCTTCTCCTCCTCCTCCTTGTGTGCGAGTGTGTGGCTTATAATTGTTTTGAGTCAGAAGTCGGCAGCTGTCAAAGTGACATATTATCTCATTAGTCACTACCCCTACCCCTGTCAAAACAATGGGGTCGGATGCTGCTTCCCCTCCTCCATTGTATCTAATTATCTTTCTCCCTCATTCTATATCTTTCAATCTGTCTCTCTTTCTGTCTGCCTATCTCTGTCTCACAGGTACACATAAATACAAGTATACATAGTGTAAATTACCTAGGATAACCCAAGAAATCCAGACGAAGTGCTATACTCTGCTTGAAGATGTGAGTAAACGTGATGACACAGTCTTGTGGCTCTCTCTGAGACAGAGAGCTGATGGACAGACAGGGAGCTTGACAGACAGACAAATAGACAGACAGAAATGTTTGTGTTACCAGCAAAAACAAAGGGAGGCGATGGTCATGTAATATTACCCTCCTTTACGCTCATCAAAGTCAGCTCTTATCAGATGTTATCTCCCCTTATCTTGTCACTGTCATGGGGTGGACTTTTTTTTTTCTTGCTTCAAGGGAACAATATTATTACATCTTCTTCTTCCTCCTCCTCCTCCTCTTCTCCTCCTCCTCCTCTCCTCCTCCTCTTCCTTCCCTCCTCCTCCTCCTCCTCCTCCTCTTCCTCCCCTCCTCCCCCTCCTCCTCCTCCATTGCTTTTGGTCTCAAACTCCTCCAAATCATGAAATTGATCTTCACTGACACTTCCATCTGTGTTAGAGCATCACTTGGGAAGAGAAGAGTCCCAGATTTGCTGGGGAATCACATATTTCTTACCACTAGACATGCTGAAAAATGACAACTGAAATGGCATTCCCACAATGCACCACTGGCTCCCCGATTTTTTTTATATGGTGCACACTGACCATGGAGACCCATTCTCTCACATGTGGGCCTACCAGCTTTCTCCTGCTTGATTTGAAGCTGCTAGAATTTATGCGTATAAATACGTCAGAAACATTGGCTCGTAAGACGTATTTATACGTCGGAAACAGTCAAAGGGTTAAATTATAATTTAAGCTCTTCATTTCATTCTATCATACTAAATTTGCAGAAATGCAAGTGTACAGTGGAACATCAGTTGTCGAACATAATTCGTTTCAGGTGTCAGTTCAACAACCAAACCAATTTTTCCCACAAAGAATAATGTACATAAAATTAATCCATTCCAGACCAAAAATGACAATATAATAATTTATAAATAATAGTGTACTAACTACTACATAAAACAATGTATAAAATTATACAACACACACAAACTGTAAAAATAAATACTAAATGAAAATTAACTGAAATACTGGACAGTAAATGAAAATTTAACTGCCTCTTACCTGTCAGAGGAGAGCTAATGGCCAGTCTAGTGACTTCAAATCTTGCAGGAGAAAGCTGATAGGCCTACATGTGAGAGAATGGGTCTGCATGGGCAGTGTGCACAATATAAAAAAAATCCTTCAGCACACAGTGCATGAGAAAAAAAACTGTGGCCACGTTTTGGTTTAGAACAGTGACTTTGTGGTGTATTTTCATATGGTATTTATGGTTGTTTTCTTGGTCTCATTTGATAGATAGAATGGAAGATATATTATAGAAATAGAGATGATTTTCAATGGTTTAAAGACTACAAGCAGCTTGAAACTGAGCTCAAAGTAGCGGAAATGTTCAATTTTTGCCGATGTCAAGAGTAAACAAATCACTTCACGTGTCCAATACACGTCAACTGATGGGTCTAATATGAAGTCACAAATGTGCTGACATTATTTCTATAATTGTTACAATTATGCAGCAGTCTGAATAACAGTAAATCTTCTATTTTTTGTGTGAATAAAATTCAAAATAAAAAGCAAGCATAATATAAGAGGGGCCTGGAGACATTACTAATGAACAGATAAATTGTTATTTTAAAACCAGAAATGTCTGCATTGTTTATGCTGGACCCCATTTTGAAATTGGCCTTTCTTGAATTTTGTGTGAAATTGGCCAAATTAGTAGTGATACCTCTCATATCCGAACTATATGGGCTGAAACCGGATCGGAAACACAGAGTTTCCAGATACGTGAGGGAGAAAAAATGTGCATCCATACTGTCATATCATCATTCGTACCCTGTCATACTGTCATCGGCGATGACGTTGTAGGTTTAAAAACTGAGTCCAATGTCGTCTGGCAGTGGGACCAGACTGGGCTCGAATAACAGCCTCCCGGATTTCACAGACCACAGGACCATAATTTTTCAAATGGGCTGTGGACAGTGGATGCTCCATATACTCCAAAAGTGTTTCAACACCTCTTGGAAGCATTGGATCATCGTCGTCGTCACTTTTGGAATGTTCTGGATGCAACAATGATTCTGCAATCTCTGCATCTGTCAGACTGCACACCAGGGTTGTCTTCACCACACTCTAGCCAGTCCTGCATGTTGGTGCCACGAACCATCATACCACTTCCACGTAGTTGTAGGTACCAATTCATCACGGACTGATCAAGTTACAAGCTCTGTGGCTTCGCGATCACTTTTCTTTCGGCACTTTTTCCAGTTTTTGAGGCGGCAGAAAACTCACTTATGTAGGCCATGATCTTATCACAAGCCTTCTTAACATTGCAGAGGGTCAACTTTGCCAAATTATACTCAGCCATAAGTCACATGTTGGACCAACCTGCATCCACGTGCAACAATATTTCCCTCTTTTTTTTCCAGAGTAAGCACATTCCTGGCCATACACAAGATAACTAAGACAAAACACAGCAGTAATAATGCTAAAAGGAGGAGTGGAACCCTGACAAAGGCCATAAACTCGCTTCCGGACTTCATCACCATTATGCACCCCTTGTCTGGTTAGGAGACAACAGCGGGACTGAGAACAGCGAGTTGTGTGGGTGGCGAAAAGCATGGGTCCTAGTAGCCAAATGGGACACTAAAGTGCACACCAAGTTTGATTCAGCCTTCCACCGAATCTGATCGGCTGTTTGGATGTTTCAGTAATAATTTTAGAATTTTCCCATTCCCAGGGCCTGTTCTGATATTGGCGAGGTTTGGATAATGGCAAGCCGGATATGCAAGGCATCATTGTAACTTCAGATCACTTTATTGGATAGTTGAAATAGGTAAATGGGCAGTTTCTTGTGCTAAATCAATAGAATAAAAGGAGTTCTAGCAAAATAGCTAAGAGTTTGGTCCACTGGAACAATAGAATTGGCCCAAAATAGGGCTCAAAATGGGTAAAATTGCCGATACATAAATATCGCCGAGACCACCGACTTTGCGATAGCATAATTCCCTAAGTTTTCCATCAAATTTCGTACTTTTGGTTTCATTACCTTCACAAGATGCACAGCAAGAGCTCAAGAGATGCTTACAGCACGCATGTTAGTCGCTATACTGACTGAGACCCACGCTGTGGACTGTCTGGTGATCACGTGATACAAGCATTGTCAGCTGTTGCTTCCCTTGCATGAGACCCAAGGTGCATTTGTTATTGTATGTATACAGTAGGGCCCCACTTATAAGGCAGGTTAGGTTCCAGGCTACTGCCGGAAAGCAGACTTCGCCAGAAAGCAGAACTCCATTTTTTCCATTTATAAATGCCAGATAACAAGTTTACACTAACATATATTAAGTTAACAATAGAACTAGGCATTAAAAAGTAAAATACACACACAGTATGCTCATTATTTACCTCAAAATATTTGGAGTATTAATGTAGGGCAAAAGGTGAGTAGTATTTACTCTAACAAGTCAAGTGTGGTAGCCCTCCTGGCCACCCCACCCACACATACTATACTAAGATGCTTAAAGCTCCCTAGAGCGATAAAATGCATGTACAGTACACTCATTACTTACCTTAAAATATTTGTAGTTTTAATGGTCTTAATGTAGGGTGAGAAGTGAAAAGTATTTATCTGTAGAAAGAAGTGCGGGAGGTATGGCATCCTGCCTGGCCATTCCCACCTACTGTTACATTAAGCTCCCTAGAGCAATAAAATGCATATACAGTACACTCATTAATTACCTTAAAATATCTGTAGCCTTAATGTTGGGTGAGTTTTATTTGTATGAAGTCAGGATGGGAAGTATGGGTAGCCAGGAAGGGCAGCCCTCCACACCCCACTCCACCCCTGGCTACCACAAGTCCTACAAGTCGCCTGGCTACCACAAGTCCTACAAGTCGCCTGGCTACCACAAGTCCTACAAGTCACCTGGCTACCACAAGTCCTACAAGTCACTTGGCTACCACAAGTCCTAAAGGTCGCCTGGGTACCACATCTCATATCTATGTTACTTTATTTTACTGCAGCGTGTATTTAGATGGATTAAGTAAAATGTCTACACGTATTAACGTTTTATACGATATTTAATGCGACTCAGAGTGATTCTTATTGTGTCATCATTCTCATCATTATTAATCTGGCATCTTCAAGATTAATAAGACACTTGGTGATTTTAATGTGTACCTGCATACCAGCACAGTGTGTAAGTTTACTTAGGTACAGGTACACGTAAGTATAATTATCAGTTATAATAATAATGTAGGTATGTAGTCTGCCTGGACTACATGGCTACACGATATTTAATGTGGCCCATTGACATACCATGTTCACTGAGTGTAATCGTTCTATCAGCTACCTTTAGGTCATGGAATGGATTAAACTTGTAAGTCAAAGTTCCACTGTATGCTTCACACCAGCCATCTCTCACTGCAGCAGGATCATCCAAAAATAAGAGGACACCCACTCATCATCATTCATTTCAAATGCTGTCTAGCCAGAAGTGTGCTGACAACAGTTCTAAGAGAAGGATCATGAATTACACAAACACTGAAAACATGTGAATGTTTTAGATGGTTAATAAAAGAAAAAGAGGGGACATGATAATCACATGCAAGATCATAAAAGAATGACAAAACAGATAGAAATATCCTGGCAGTAAAAGGCCAAACTTGAGGCTACAATTTTAAGCCATGAATGAAGCTACAATTTTAAACAAAGAAGAATGGAACCCAAAGGATAATAGAAAGTATTTCTTCACAGAGACAGAATGCTGGAATGGGATTCAAGATATATTAAGTGCTACAGTCACTAGAAACTGAAAATTTACATGACAAATACTTCAGAAGGAACACCAAAGGCACAACTTTGCTACTTTAACCCTATCAGGGTCCAGAGGCCAAATTTCAAAGGATGCACCAGGGTCCAAGAATTTTAAAAAAATAATTTTGTTATTTTTTCTTATGAAATGGTAGAGAATCTTTCTCTGAAGGTAATCAAACAAAAAGTATGAAATTATGCTCTCGCAAATTTTGATGTGTCAGCGATATTTACACATCGGCGATTTTGCAGATTTTGACTCCCATTTTAGGCCAATTACATTATTCCAGTCGACCAAATTCTTAACTATTTCACTAGTATTACTCCTATTCTATTGATTGAGCACAAGAATTCGCCAAGTCAACTGTTTCAACTACAAAATAAAGTGATTGGAAATTGGTAATTTGGTCAATTTAATGCAAAGTTCAAAATACTCCAATTTCAAAATAGGGTCCAGAATAAACAATGCAGGCATTCCTGGCATTAAACTAACATTTCCTCTGTTTATTAGTTACGTTTTCAGGCTTTACTAATGAATTCCATTTTGATTTTTTATTCACAATGAATTTTTATTCAAACCAAAAAATAGAAGATTTACTGTTGTGCAATATTGTAATAATTGTATAAATAATACCAGCACATTTGTGAACGTATATTAGACCCACTAGCTGGCATGTATTAGACGTGTGAGGTCACTTGTTTACTCTTGAACATCGGCATTCTTGAACATTCTGCCCCTTTAAGCTCAGTTTCAAGCCATTTCCAGTATTAAAACCAATAAAAATCAACTCTATTTCTGTAATATGTCTTCCATTCTATCTCGCAAATACAACTATAAAAAACATGAAAAAACACTACAAATTCGCTGTTTTAATCGAAAATTACGGTCTCAGTTTTTTTCTCTCATTATGCACTATGTGCTGCAGGATTTGTTTTATGTGGTGCACACATACCACATAGATGTATTCTCTCATATCAAGGCCAATATTTACCATTCACAGCTTATCAGAGTGAGCTGAGCTCATGACGTAGATCTACGGTTTGGACCCTCAACGTAAAGCCGTAGATCTACGGCATGGACCCTCAAGGGGTTAAACCACAAACATGCAATTAACTGCTTTCATTCGAGAATTATATCAAGGAAAAGCTTCAATTCTTGCCTGCAACACAGTGAATTGGTAGCCAGCTTCAGTAAGCTTAGCTCGAATCATCTCCCATGCCTCTGTCCTCTTGCATTCTTTATCTAAAATGAAGTAAGCCTTTGGGTATTCCTTGAGGAGATTTATTAGGAGTCGACTAGACTTGTTATCCCACGGACCTGAAAGAATAGTGCATGGGTTGGTAATAGAAAAATAATTAAAATAACCAGTTTCTTCTATTAAAAGGATTGGCTACTGACCACTCTTCAAGTGTGTGTGCGCATGCACACATACAAGTGAGTGTAAAACAGAAACCTGTAACTGTTTTACGTGATGGTAGGACTGCTGGTGTCTTCTTTCTCTCATAAACATGCAAGATTCCAGGTATGTCTTGCTACTTCTACTTATACTTAGGTCACACTACAAATGCATGTACATGTTTATGTACACACACTCATCTGAGTTTTCTTTGATTTTGTCTTAAGAGTTCTTGTTCTTATTGCCTTTCCTTTCACATCCATGAGGAAGTGGAATAAGAATCTTTCCTCCATAAGCCTTGCATGTTGTAAAAGTCAACTAAAATACCAGGAACAATGGCCTAGTAATGCCATTTCCCATACAGCATACTAAAAAGAAAAAGAAGAAAACTGTCAAAGTGGGATGTTTGAATGTGCATGGATGCTGTGCAAATGATAAGAAAGAGATGATTGTGGATGTTATGAATGAAAAGAAGGTGGATGTCCTGGCTTAAGGGAAACAAAATTGAAAAGGGTAGGAGAGTTTCAGTGGGGAGAAATAAATGGGATTAGGTCAGGGGATTCTAACAGAGTTAGAGCTAAGGAAGGAGTAGCATTAATGTTGAAGGATAAGTTATGGCAGGAAAAGAGGGAATATAAATGCATAAATTCAAGGATTATGCAGAGTAAAATAAGTGGGTTATACTAAGTGTTTATGCACCTGGAGATGAGAGAAGTATAGAGGAGAGAAAGAGACATTTTGGGAAATGTTGAGTGAGTGCATGGGGAGTTTTGAACCAAGGGAGAAAGTACTTGTGGTTGGGGATCTCAATGCTAAAGTGGGTAAAAGTACTGTGGAGGGAGTAGTAGGTAAATCTGGGGTGCCAGAGGTAAATGAAAATAGGGAGCCTTTAATTGAACTATGTGTAGAGAGAGGTTTGGTAATAAATAATGCAAATTTTATGAAAAAACAGGATAAATCAGTATACAAGGCATGATATAGCATGTAATGAAAGTAGTTTGTTAGATTATGTATTGGTGGATAAAAGGATGATGGGTAGGCTTCAGGATGTACATGTTTATAGAGGGGCAATGCATATATCAGATCATTACAGCCTCTCCTCACTTAACGATGGAGTTCCGTTCCTAAGACCACACTGTTAAACGAATTCGTCACTAAGTGAGGAGCATACTATAATAGTAGTGGGTTTGTGTCAACCATTTCTGATATTGTTTTAATGTCACCTTTGCACAATTTATAACATTTCTGGTATATTTCTGAATGTTTATACAGTACAGTGGACCCCCGCATAGCGAACTTAATCCGTGCAAGAGGGCTGGTCGTTATGCGAAATGTTCGCTATGCGAATTAATTTTCCCCATAAGAAATAATGGAAATAAAATTAATCCGTGCAAGACACCCAAAAGTATGAAAAAAAAATTTTTTTACCACAAAAAAATGTTAATTTTAGTACACACAAACTGAAAAAGGCATGCACAATTACATGACACTTACTTTTATTGAAGATCTGGTGATGATTGATGGGATGGGAGGAGGGGAGAGAGTGTGTTAGTGTTTAGAAGGGGAATCCCCTTCCATTAACACTTGAGGAGGCAAGTCCTTTTCCGGGGTTACTTCCCTTCTTCTTTTAATGCCACTAGGACCAGCTTCAGAGTCACTGGACTTCTTTCTGTCCATAGAGCTCTGTACCTCCCGTTCCTTTACGATTTGTCTAAAATGGGCCATAACATTGTCATTGAAATAGTCACCAGCACGCCTTGCAACAGCTGTGTCAGGGTGATTTTCATCCATAAAGGTTTGCAGTTCAACCCACTGTGCACACATTTCCTTAATTTTTGAAGTAGGCACAATGGATTCCACAACTGGCATAGGCTTCTCAGGGTTAGCCCAAACCTTCAAAATCTTTCTTAATTTCCATACTAATTCTCACCCTTTTTACCACAGGGTTGGCACTAGAAGCTTTCTTGGGGCCCATGGTCACTTATTTTCAACAAACAGAACCGAAAACACTGTAATAATACGAAATATTCCGAGTGTATGCTTGAATGTTACCGCGGAGGCTAGCTGGTAAACAATGGGACAGGCGGCACATGTGAGGCTGGCTGAGGCCGCACATTGGACGCGTCTCGGACGAAGTTCGCTGAGCGGGTTTTTGTCTACTATGCGGGGCAAAATTTTAGCGATCAAAGCGTTCACTATGCGGAATGTTCGCTATGCAAGGCGTTCGCTATGCGGGGGTCCACTGTAGTATACTGTCTACTGAAATAAACAGAACAGAGGAAATCGGTTCTAATATACATTATTTAGGCATAAATACTGATCAGAAAGCCAGTCACAAGTCTGAGGCGTCAGTAAGTAAGTACGTCGCTAAGTGAGGAGAGACTGTATTTAGTTGTAGCAACAGTTTGAGTAAGAGGTAGATGGGACGAAAGGAAAAGGGAAACAGAAAATGAGAGAGGTGAAAGTTTATAAACTAAGGGAGGAGGAAGTTAGGGTGAGATATGAGCAACTATTGGCAGAAAGGTGGGCTAGTGCAAGTATGGGTAGTGGGGAGGTTGAAAAGGGGTGGGATAGTTTTAAAAATGCAGTATTAGAATGTGGGGGAGAAGTTTGTGGCTATAGGAGGGTGGGCGCAGGAGGGAGGAGTGATTGGTGGAATGATAAAGTAAAAGGTGTGATAAAACAAAAAAAAAAAAAAGTAGTTTATGAAAGGTTTCTACAAAGCAGAAGTGATATAAGAACGGCAGAGTATATGGAGACTTAAAGAAAGGTGAAGAGAGTGGTGAGAGAGTGCAAAAGGAGAGCAGATGATAGAATGGGAGAGGTACTGTCAAGAAACTTTCTAAGAATGAGAAAAAATTCTAGAGTGAGATATACAAGTTAAGAAAGCCTAGGGAACGAATGGATTTGTCAGTTAAAAACAGAGTAGGGGAGTTAGTACATGGGGGGGGGGGTAGAGGTACTGGGTATATGGCAGGAATATTTTAAGGAACTTTTAAATGGCAATGAAGAAAGGGAGGTGGTAATTTCATGCACTGGCCAGGGGATTATAACATCTTTTAGAAATGAAGAAGAGCAAGATGTGAGTGTGGGGGAGGTGTGTGAGGCATTACGTAGAATGAAAGTGGGTAAAGCAGCTGGAACTGACGGGGTCAAGACAGAAATCTTAAAAGTTGGGGGAGATATAGTGCTGGAGTGGTTGGTATTTTTGTTTAATAAACATGCTAGACAATAGGGATACCTTGCTACTCCTACCTACACTTTGGTCACATTTTACAGACACGCACATGCATATATATATATACATGCATCTAGGTTTTTCTTATTTTTCGAAATAGCTCTTGTTCTTCTTTATTTCTTCTATTGTCCATGGGGAAGTGGAAAAGAATCTTTTTTCCTTAAGCCATGTGTGTCGTATGAGGAGACTAAAATGCCGGGAGCAATGGGCTAGTAACCCCTTCTCCTGTAAACATTTACTAAAAAAGAGAAGAAAAACTTTATAAAACTGGGATGCTTGAATGTGCGTGGATGTAGTGCGGATGACAAGAAACAGATGATTGCTGATGTTATGAATGAAAAGAAGTTGAATGTCCTGGCCCTAAGCGAAACAAAGCTGAAGGGGGTAGGGGAGGTTCGGCGGGGGGAAATAAATGGGATTAAATCTGGAGTATCTGAGAGAGTTAGAGCTAAGGAAGGGGTAGCAATAATGTTGAAGGATCAGTTATGGAAGGAGAAAAGAGAATATGAATGTGTAAATTCAAGGACTATGTGGATTAAAGTAAAGGTTGGATGCAAAAAGTGCTTCATAATAAGCATGCATGCACCTGGAGAAGAGAGGAATGTAGAGGAGAGAGAGAGATTTTGGGAGATGTTAAGTGAATGTATAGGAACCTTTGAACCAAGTGAGAGAGTAATTGTGGTAAGGGACCTGAATGTTCAAGTAGGAGAAACTTTTAGAGAGGGTGTGGTAGGTAAGTTTGGGGTGCCAGGTGTAAACGATAATGGGAGCCCTTTGATTGAACTTTGTATAGAAAGGGGTTTAGTTATAGGTAACACACATTTTAAGAAAAAGAGGATAAGTATACAAGACATGATGTAGGGCAAAATGACAGCAGTTTGTTGGATTATGTATTGGTAGAGAAAAGACTGTTGAGTAGATTTCAGGATGTACATGTTTATAGAGGGGCCACAGATATATCAGATCACTTTTTAGTTGAAGCTACACTGAGAGTAAAAGGTAGATGGGATACAAGGAGAATAGAAGCATCAGGGAAGAGAGGAGGCAGTTAGGTTAAGATATAAACAGCTATTGGAGGATAGATGGGCTAATGAGAGCATAGGCAATGGGGTCGAAGAGGTATGGGGTAGGTTTAAAAATGTAGTGTTGGAGTGTTCAGCAGAAGTTTATGGTTACAGGAAAGTGGGTGCGGGAGGGAAGAGGAGCGACTGGTGGAATGATGATGTAAAGGGAGTAGTAAGGGAGAAAAAGTTAGCATATAAGAAGTTTTTACAAAGTAGAAGTGATGCAAGGAGGGAAGAGTATATGGAGAAAAAGAGAGAGGTTAAGAGAGTGGTGAAGCAATGTAAAAAGAGAGCAAATGAGAGAGTGGGTGAGATGTTATCAACAAATTTGGTTGAAAATAAGAAAAAGTTTTAGAGTGAGATTAACAAGTTAAGGAAGCCTAGAGAACAAATGGATTTGTCAGTTAAAAATAGGAGAGGAGAGTTATTAAATGGAGAGTTAGAGGTATTGGGAAGATGGAGGGAATATTTTGAGGAATTGTTAAATGTTGATGAAGATAGGGAAGCTGTGATTTCATGTATAGGGCAAGGAGGAATAACATCTTGCAGGAGTGAGGAAGAGCCAGTTGTGAGTGTGGGAGAAGTTTGTGAGGCAGTAGGTAAAATGAAAGGGGGTAAG